AATTTCCCTAAAGCCAGATTTTGGACATTTTTAGGTTCATTCTAATTTCCATTATTTTCAGTAGTGCCACAAAGGGCAGCAGTATTTTTTAATAAATATATTGTGACATATTTCCAAAGGCCAGTTTTCCCAGGAGTGAGTCATAGGTATGCACGTTTCTAAGCTTTGGGTAGTGTTTCCACCTTTCTTTCCAAAATAATTGTTTGAATTCACACTCCATTCAGAAGTCTGCAGCACCCACTTATCTCCTGAGGTAATTGAATAGAGGTCAAACGTGGTCTTGCATTTCAATTTGCATTTCTTTGATTACTAGTGTGTCGGAGCATCTCCAGGTAATTGTTTACTGGTTGCGTTTCCTCTTTCGTTATTTCCATCAGGTGGGAAGTGCAGTCTGCACACTGAGAGTCGGTGTTCATTTTACCAGGTGTTTCTGGATGTTTTTGTAGATATCCTGGCCCATGTATATTTGTCAGGACTCTGTGTGTTTCTCATCAATTTCTTGTATAATAAAAATACCTCTTTTGAGGGGTAACTTAAAAAAGTGTTAATTTTTCCAGTTTGCAGTTGGCTGTTTATTTTGGTTTGATTATAGTTTTGTATTATTCAGAAATTTAAAAGTTTGATGAGGACCCCCCGAAGCTTAGAAATCTTTCTTCCTTCAGAGAATTTGACAAACACTCAGTTCTGTTATGTTCTGTAGCAGGTTCTCATGGCTTACTGGGTGACCCTTCTGACGTGTTGATGCATTGAGAGGGGCTATCTGCCTACCAACTTCCTGTTATGTGAAAAACACATAACATTAGATTTACCGTCTTGACTGTTTTTAAGTGTACAGTCAACAGCGCAAAGCCTAGTCACACTGTTGGGTGGGACACAGATCTTGGGAACGCCTTCATCTTGCAAAACTGACGCTTGGCACCCCTCAACACTCCCTACCCATCTGCCCTGACCCCCACCTCCACCCAGCCCCACCCAGCCCCACCCTGTCCCCCCGTCCCTGTCCCTGGCAACCCCCATGTGCCCTCTGCTTCTGCGATTCTGACCACTTGATACTTGTAGCCATGAACTTTTGTCCTTTTGTAACTGGCTTATTTTGCTTAGTGCGAGCCCTTGGGGCTCATCCAGGGGCCTGGGAGGGGAGCTCCGTGTTTCGTTTTGTTTTTTAGCTGAGCCGTCCTGCCACTTGTTGGCAGCTCAGCGGCAGCTCAGCTCAGGCCTGGACTGGAACCGCTGTTGCTCAGAGCTCACACTCTGGAGGGAGCTCTGAACCAACTGAGCCACTCGGCCGGCCCTTCTCCGTGTTTTTTAAGGCTGCGTCGTACTCCATTGTGTTCGACACAACATGCGCTCTACCCAGTCAGCTGGAGATGGACACTTGCGTTGTTTCCATTCCTCGGCTGCTGTGAACATGGGGGTGCAGACATCCCTTCAAAACCCTGCTTGGCGTTCTTTCCTGAAGGCGATGGTGGTGGGGTAGAGATGTCAGCAAGGAAAACTGGGAACACTGGGTTATGAAAGGGAGGAAGGCAGCCATGGCAACATGCAGGGTTCCGGCTCGGGGGTGTGTCCCTGAGGTGGGACGTGTGACGGGGAGAAGCTTAGCTGGGGTGGAGCTAGAAGTCCAGGGTTTCTGAGTGTGAGGTGCCCGTGGGACCTACCAGGGGAGTGGTCAGGGTGCAGGTCTGAGCTGGAGACCCGGACTGGAGCGGACCTGTGCTCCCGAGCCTGACGGAAGCCGTAATGCTGGTTCCTTTACTCGGAGGCCTTCAGGCAGCTCTACTCAGCCTCATTTACAGCCTTGAAATGTCCTTGGCAGATTGGACGGCTCTCTCCCCCCCCCCAGAGGCTTTGGCCTCAGTCTTACCCACCGTGCAGGGCAACCCACGCGCGAGCACTCAGAGGACAGGGCAGGCGAGGGGAGGCTGAGAGATGCAGAGCCCACACGCTGGGGTCTAACTCCCGTGTTCTACATGCGTGTCACCACCTAGGGCCCGAAGCCCCACGCAGGTGAGGGGAGCAGGTGTGGGCGGCCACGCGCACCGCACCGANCTGGACGTGTAGATGCCTCTATTAGGAGAGAGCTCACGTGGCTGACGTGTACGTCTGAGTGTGGCATTGATGGCAGAGAGTGGCAGGTATGATGCTGGGCCGTGAGGGATGGCTTGGGGCAGCTTAGGGCTCTGTGTGCCTGAGTGGGAAGGAGATCGGGGCCCTGAGAATGGATTCGTTCATCTATGCGGTAAGTGCTAGCGAGCCTCAAGGTCATGCCCTGACCTTCAGACACCACCGCCGTGCTGTATTCTCTGTATGTTGCTCCTGGAACCGGGCACGACTGCAGGTGTGCGCCTGTTACGTGCCAGGCTTTGACATGTGCCAGGCCCAGTGTGGCTAGGACTACAACTCGAATACAGCCCAGAACGACCACAGACCGTCTCGCTTCGTTCTGAGCACCTCGCCTCATCCCTGGCTCTCCCCACGCCTCTCCTGGCCTCAGTCTCACCCTCGTCCCCTTCGCCCGCTCACCAGCGTGGACTTTGAGCTTCACCGGGTCACTGCGTGTGAAGAAGTCTGTCTGGCAGCTATAATTTCCACTGTTATTAACTCGGGCGTCTGCGATGACGAGGCTGGAGGCCTGGTATGGGAGGAGGTTCCCATTGTGAAACCACCGTGTGGAGTTGTCCTCCTGGGGGTAGGCCCCCTGGCACTGCAGAGTCACTCTGTCCTTCTCCAGCACCCTGTCCCACACAGGGTCCAGGGACACCACGGCCTTTGGGGGTTCTGCTGAGGAGACAAGAGAACGTGGGTGAGGGCAGGGGAGGCTCAGAGCCAATCAGCTGCTGCAAAGCCACCGCTGACAACTTGGCCTTGGCCTGTCACTCAGACTTGGAGGCACTCGGCCCCATTTTTGGCCTCTCTTTATCTTGAGGCAAATTGACCAGAGAAGCCCAGGGCCGAGCCCCGCTGACCCCCCACCAGCAGTTTCTCATGTGACAGACATTTGCCACAGCCTGTGGCTATCACACCCTCATGTACCTCCCTCAGCCAGTCCAACACCACGAGGCAAACTCACCAGCTCTCGTGCCAGCTGAAGCTGCAAGAAAAAAAGAGTGAAACACACTCTGAGCACAAGCAGAGATCGGGGTGACAAGAGTGTAGATGGAGCTGAGCCCCCCCCTCCCACCCCCGGGCACCTGTGCTCCCAGCAGCCTCCCACCTCCCAGGTCTGTGCCTCCGGCCACACTGCCTACCCAAATCCGTTTCAGCACCCTCCCCTTACTCCGTGCTTCCTGTTAAACTCCTAAACCAAGGATACAAATTAAATTTCCCCAAATTAAACCCTAGAAAGAGCCTCAGCCCAAGTCTCCTGTAAAAGGTGTAGATTAACAGTCTTAGAAGGACCCTGGAATGTCAGAGTGGAGGAGACCCACCTCGGGGGCCCTTTAGTTCATACTCTTCAGCTTACAGCATGGGAGGCTGAGACCCCGGGGGCGGGGGGACGCAATGGAGCCTCACAGACCCCTTCCACCTCCCGACTGTGCCCAAATCCGAGGCAACATCTCCTCGTCCCTAGGCCCTAAATGGGTTGCATTCAGATCTAAATCTAGAGCTGGAGACACGCTGAGGGTCCCACCCTGGCCGAACAGGGCATCCCACCATTGGCCACTTCTCCCTCCATCGGCCACTCTGACTTACCAAGAAGGAGCAGAGCCGTGGGCGGCAGCAGCCGGCACATGCTGGGTGTTACAGTGGACAAGTCAGCACGGGTATCTGGAGCCCTGAAGTGACCCAGCTGCACTGAGAGAGGAAGTAAGCAGCCTTTCCCACTACTCCCCAGCCTGATGCTTACTATGGTCCTTTTCCGGGAGCTTCATTGACTCCTGGGTCTGATAGGGCGGGACAGGGGGAAGAGACTGGGGGTGTGCCCCATTTGCCCAATAGGTCCGCACTGAGCAGCTGGTGACATGTCGGGGACGATTAGCAGTCTCAGGGTTGCGCCCACCTCCTGGGGTGGGGGCTGCCCAGCGCCAAGAAGGGTTCAGCAGGACCCTGGGGACGACACTCACAAGGGAGGGTCCTCCCCCTCAGACCCTCCCACCCCTGCCTGGCCCTGACCTCATCCACGCAGCTGGCCTGTCCACATGCAGCAAGTGGTCCTTGCATCCCCTGCCCACTGGACATGGCCCTCACCCCAATATTATCTCCACCAACATTTTGTTCAAAATTCTAAATGCATAGAGAATACAGTCAATAATGTTGCAACAACTATCTGTGGTGCCAGGTGGGCACTAGACTCATCGGGGACCATGGCATAAATTGTATAAATGTCTGACTGCTATGTGGTGCCCCCGAAACTGATACAAGGTCATACTGAATGTCAGCTGGAGCTAAAAATATAATTGAAATGCGTGAGCCCCGAGGGTCTGCCATCCACAGGAGCCTCTAAGTTCTTAGTGTGAGCGTGATCATGAGATTCGCACCCTCTGTTCAAAGAAACGCCGGCAGTGGGAGAGAAATGGGCCGTGGGAAAGATGGAAAGGAACCAGAGAAGGTGGCGGGTGGTGGTCTGGACGTGGCAAGACCGTTAGCCTCTGCCTGTGCTCGAGGCCCCCAGCCAGCACATGCACATGGACCCCCGAGTCCAGGACTCAGACAGACAATCAAATGGCTCTGCTGGGCAGGCCCGTGCTCCCAGTGGGTTCCCAGATGTCTGGGGAAGGCCTCACTTGCAGGATCGTTGGACAGGCCCAGGAGGTGTGATGCGTGGCAGGGCTGGCACGGGGCTGCTGACATGGCAGACTCACAGCCACTGCTCCTCAGGTTTCCATTTTGGTTTGGTTTGGCTGCTGGGTAGAGTTTGCTGACCCTCCCCCGTTCCCATCTGTTCGCCCCCAACCTGTGCGGCAGATGTCCTGCGCCCACAAGGCCCTCGGACGAGATGACAGATTAGCACAGACCCGACTAGCATCTATCATAGGATCACCTGGGCCCCCAAAGCAGAAAGAGCCCCCTGGGGCCATCCCCAGCTTCTGAGGTGGGAGGGGCTGCCCCCAGCGCCCTGGCCTAAGTGCCTTTCTGCCACGCGGCTGACCTGGCAGCAAGGCATTCACTTTGGTTCCTTCTTGGAGGTTTGATTTTCTTCTCTGACTCAACTTTGACTGTGGCCTTCAATGGAGGGAGGATGGCTGGGCGGGAATACAGAGCTGGGCCACCGCGGTGGGANCCTCGACCGCAGCTGTTTGGGGACGTGGCGCTCAGACTTCCTTCTTCAGTGAAATAACTTGGCAGAGGGGGTAACGCTCGCCTGTCTCTGTGGCGCAATCGGTTAGCGCGTTCGGCTGTTAACCGAAAGGTTGGTGGTTCGAGCCCACCCAGGGACGGCGGCGAGCGTTTTGTGCACCGGGGGTCACTCCTGTCCCGGGGCCTCGCTGCCAGACGGCCTCCACCTCTAGGAGGGAAACTTTTAGCTGCTCATACCCCCGAGAGGAAGTCGCAGCGCCCCTGCGCCTGCCTCGCCCTCCGCTCGCTTCTCCGGACTCGCGGAGCCGGTCCTTAGTCAGTAGTCCTGCCGCGTCCCCACGGTCACCAAGTCTGGGGCGTCGGCCTCCTGCGGGCCTTGCGGGAGGCGCCTCCTCCCCAGGCCCTGCCTGGGGCCCGGCCTGGCCGCCTGGCCGGCTCCTGTCCGCTGCCCTCTGCTCCGCCCTACAGGCGGCTGCGGAGGAGCTCCTAACCCCAGGGGCTCGCAGGCTGGACCCTGTGCGCCCCCTGGAAGGCGGCGCCCTCCATCTCTGCCCCTTCTTTACAGGCCAGACGACCTTCTTGAGCTCCCGCGGTGGCGTCAGGCTTGTGCCTGCGGCGGGCAGGCCCCGCTCGCCCACCCTTCGCCGCCCCCGCCCCGGTTAGGCCTCTTCCCTGCAGCCCTGTGCTCGCTCTCTCCAGGTTTACAGGTCGTCTCACTGGAAGGCGAGCCCCCGGGGAGGGACCCCGTGTGTGCATCTTGGTGTCTTCAGCACTGAGCTCAAGCTTGGCGCACTGTAGCCACTGAGTGTGCGGGTGCACTTGTCCCCTGCCTGGGTCCCACCCCGTACCTACGCGACAAGCGCCAGTCGTGCTGGCCCCCTCCCCTCCGCGCCCGCACCCCCCCCGCACCCCCCCACAGGTAAAGGCGCCTGCGCGCCCTGGCCGCGCTGGACTTGGCAAACTGGCGGCTTCCCGGGAGCTGCGGCGGGACGGTTGCTGGTGGCGCGGGGGTTTCCACCAGCCCAGGCTGAGCTTCGGACGACGGGACGGGAAGAGGATTTTGCCATTCAGGTTTTATTGCATAGTTTTCCCATCTCCCGTCTGGGAGGAGCATGCAGGACTTTGTAAAATGCTCTACTGGAATCAGCAAGTGTTTTGTTTAAAGCGTCTGAAGCAGAAAGATAGCTCAAGCTTCCTCCCACGGCGGCCGCGGCGGCCCCTCCCCACTCCGCTCCCCGTGCCCGCCCGGGGGCTGGAAGGGGCTGGAAGGGGCTGGAAGGAAGTTTCACTCCGCAGTGTTAGTGCGTTTGGTATGGCTGTCAACCTGTGTCCGCTGAATGACGGGCCGAAGCTGCCCCTACTCAGAGTGATGCGGACAAGCTGGGTGCAGTCCCTGCCCCTCCTCTCGTTCTTAGGATCCTGGCCAACAAAAGCGTCCTCGCCTGCGCGCTCCTTCCTGGCGGTTGTCACTGGCTCTCGCTTGTCACGCTTTTTCAGTGCGGAGTGGAAATCTCTGTTCACTGAGCTTGATCTGGGACAGCAATGCCGCCCTCGTCCCTGTGGGCCGGGGGCTGGCTGGTCCTGGGCTTTCTTCTCCACNCCGCAGGCGAGCAGGGCTGTGTCCTGTTCGCTGCCATGTACGCAGAGTCCAGGTCAGTGTCTGGCACCTGGCAAAGAACTCAGTGATATTTGAGCAACGAGTAAATTCTTTAGTCAATTGAGAGAGTTCTAAACCTTGATAATCCTTAGAAATGATGTAGTCCAGGTTCCTCATTTTAAAATTCAGGAAGCTGCTGGCCAGGTGGTTGAAATGACCTGTTCAAGGGTATACAAGTAGCTGGCGTCGCTGCATAACGTCACAGGACACGTTTGATTCTATAACTTTCTTTTTGTACTCCGTTTGGGTCATGAGCATCCCCCCAACTCACAATGTTTGTTTAAGTCAGCACTTTAATGCCTGTTCTACTTTTCAAGATACTTAAACAACTGTTCCTAAGTTATTAAACTAAGTTACCAAAGTTGAAGTGTGTGCTGCTGTATACCACAGCCTCTTTGAATGAACAAGTAAAGCAGTGAATGAGCCTGGAAGAGTGCCTGTGATGCTGCGCGGGATGTCCAGGTGCGCAGGTGCGGGCTGTAGGGTACACCTGGGACTCTGGGGGTAGAGTGGGGTTGGGGGTGGACTGGGAGTGGGGAGTGGGGGTGGACTGGGAGTGGGAGTGGAGTGGGAGTGGGGTGGGGAGGTGGGGTTGCGCCTGCACAGGGCTAGGAGGGAAAGTGGAGGCCTTGGGCGAAGGCAGCCCCGGAGCAGGCCCGGGCACCCTCCCTTCTTAGTTGGGACCCTTCACGTGCAGGGCTTGGCTAAAATGTCCCGACTCTGACACCCAGGTCTGCTCTCTGAGCGTGAGTTTAAAGCTGGCAGTTAAAAAACAAAACAAAACTGAGTGCTGTGTGGGGACTCCCTCCTCCTCCCAAGGCCCTGCAACTTCCCGCAGGGTTTTGAGCCATCTTAGGAGAAAAGAGTCGCTTACAGAGCGAGGGGTTTCAGCCTCTGTCTACAGAAGTCTCAGTTTCCTTTGAATCAAGCAAATGACAAAGTGAACATAAAAGTCAATGTCACTCAAGTCCCTTTAATTACTGCGGCTTCACGACGTGTCCCGCGGGAGAGAGACCTCGGGGTCCAGGTCCGAGGCCGGCGGGGAGCCACGGGCCCTGCGCTGCTCGCGCCTCCGGAGAGTTTCCTTGTGGTTTTCGGGGGCAACACCGAAATGCAACGGGACGTTCCGGGCTCAGGCCAGTGAGCCCGAGGCCGCAGGCGCGCCGGGACCGCGCGTGGCTCGGGCCGGAGGAAAAGCAGGGGCTGCATTGGCCGGGAATCGAACCCGGGCCTCCCGCGTGGCAGGCGAGAATTCTACCACTGAACCACCAATGCTCGCGGCGGCGCTGGCCCTGCGGCGCGGCCCTTCACCTCCGCGCGCTCTCTGGTTCCGTCCGCCCGGAGCCCGGCGGCCCTTTTTCAGTCCCAATTTCGGAAATTGCCTTCATGCTTCAAGAGGAAACAGGGTTAAGGCTTTAAACGAGAGACTTAAGCCCGGGACGCGCGGCCGCAGCTCTGCTCCACGGTGACGAGCCTCCGGCGCTTCCCGAGCGGCGGGGCTCCCACCCGCCTGTGCAGCCACGCGGGGTGTCCGTCCCCTGGGGCCACCGCGCTGGGGCCGGCGGGGCCCGCGGACCCTCCTCGGAGCCGCTGGGCGGGCGGCCTGACGCTCCTTGGATCGGACGGGGGTTTGGGGACGAGCGCGGCCGGGCGAGTGAGCGCCGGTCTCCTCGCATGACGTCGGCGGGCGTGTGGGACCCCCGTGACGCCCCACGGGTGACGTCCGCCTCGACCACGTGGCTCAGGTCCAACTTTCCTACCTTCCTAGTCTCTCCTGTGAGCGCAGCGTCGTCGCCATTCGTTCAGGCACAGCTCGTCACCGAACTCTTTATTCTCTTTTGTGAGCACAGCGCCTGCCACGTTCTAGGTGCTCAGGAGATACGAGTAAAGGGGGCGAGGGAGCAGCAGTGGGGGGGTCGCCCGAGGTCGCCCCGCGCGGAGGTGCTGGCAGGACCGGCCCCCGGGGGCGGCGCCTCCCGGAGCTGAAGTCCGCGTTTCTAATGAGCCCCTGGTTGCCTCGCTCCCTCTCGCAATGTTCTCTCTATGTTACTACAAGCAAAGCGAGGCTCAGGAAAGTCACTTTCCCGAGGCCACAGCCCCGCAAATAACGCAGCGCGCAGTCGGGCAGACGCTCGCTAGTGAACCTGAGGTCCTGCCAGCCTCACAGTCAGCCTCTTCCCGAAAGGACAACGTTTCTCCACAGCCGGCTCCTCCCAAATCAGAAGGCGGCCTATTTGAGATATTGAAGAAAACGGAGCTGTGGAGACAACCCCGGTTCCCCTCGCCGCGCCGTGACCCGCCCCCACCCGCGCTCGCGGCCCGCGGCGCTCCTCCGGCCCCGGGCGACCCGGCGCAGCTGCGGAGAGCGGGCGGTGTCAGCGGGCGGGCGGGGCTCCGAGGCCGCCCCCGCGGCCGGGCTGAGCGGTCAGACTCAGGCCGAGGACAGCAACCGGGGGTCTGGGCTGCGGCCTTCGCCTCGTGGCCAGGGGCGCCGGGGGTGCCTCCCTGCCCTGGCGTGCTGGGCACGGAGGAGGGCCCCATGCGCCGTTGTCGGGTACAGCGCTGGGTCAAGAGGCCTTGAGACGCGGGAGTGTGAAGGGAAAAAATGCTTTTCTCAGGGATGGATCTCAGCGGCTCCCTGATTTCATAGACCATCTCCGGCCTGCAAGACAGAAAACAATAGACCCAGCTCCATAGTCACCATCTTCATATGTAGATGCGCAGAATGAAAACGTGGCGATTGGCCCTTTCTCCAGAAATGCAACCCTACGTGTCGGAAGAACAAAAGCACACTTTGTCAGGAGTGGGATTCGAACCCACGCCTCCAGGGGAGACTGCGACCTGAACGCAGCGCCTTAGACCGCTCGGCCATCCTGACTTGAGAAACATGGNAACTTTAAAAAAGTTGCCAAAATAGGATAAATAACTCTCATCTATTCTTTACCTAGATTTACTAGTTGTTGC